ATAAGATGGAATCAAGATTAGAGGTTTGTCTCTTTGTAGGATATCTAAAAGGAACTAGAGGGTACTATTTTTACAGTCTTCTAGATAAGAAGGTATGTTTTAGTACCAATGCAACCTTTCTAGAGGACAAGTATATAGAAGAGCACAAATATACTAGTAGTATGATCCTTTCGGAAGATGTGTTAGAACATGGTTCAAACAACTCAATTCCAAATTTTTGCATAGAAATAAATATATCAATGGTTGCTAATGAGGTAAGTGAACAAGTGACGCCATTCTATGCATTTTTGCACCTCCAAATGATAGGGATAAAATGAGGTTGGTCTGTCACAACCAAGTACAAGACCAGGCAGTGGGAGAAGAGGAAGGACTTTGGTTAGACCGAACGATCAGACACCTTCAACCAATACATATAGTGGGACGGTTGTGAGATAACCTTCTAGGTGTTTGCTCTATGGAGAGTCCTATCAAGCATCTTTACTTAGCAAGAAGAAGATCCCACTTTGTTTAAAAAAGTGATGGAGAATGTAAACTTTAAATCATGGAAATCTGCCATGAACTCAGGGGTGAAATCTATGAATTCCAACAAGATTTTGGATCTTGTGAATGCACCAAATAGGGCCAACGTATAGGGTGCAAGTGGGTCTATAAAAGGAAAAGAGGTATAGATGGGACATTGAAACATTTAAAGCAAGACATTGGCCAGGGGCTTTACCAAAGAAAAGGTATCGACTACAGAAAACCTTCTCACCAGTCGCCATGCTTAAATCTATTTGGACCATTTTATCCATTGTCGCTCATTCTGATTATGAGGTCTGGGAAATGTCCCATCTAGATGAAACCATCTACATGATGCATCCCTAGGTGTTGATGAAAGAATGCCATGAAAGGAAAGTTTCAAAGTTGCAAAAGGTCCATTTATGTTCTTATTAAGCAAGCGTCCAAGTCTTGGAATATAAGATTGGATCAAACCATTAAGACCTATGGTTTTGAACAAAATTTGGATGAAACTTGTGTATAAACGTTTACAAGGAAAGAAAGAAGTTTTTCTATTTTTTATATGGATGATATTCTACTCAATAGAAATTATGTAGGGGCATTGACATTTGTAAAAAATTGGTCGTCATGACAGTTTGATATGAATGATATTATCTAGATTGGTAATGCAAAATCCTAAAAAGGGACACTTCCTTTCGGACATGGAATCAAATATTTGAGAGGCATTCTCCCAAAAATCCAATGGAGATAGATAACATGAAGAAGGTTCCTTATGTTTTGACTATGGGAGCCTTCTGTATGCTATGGTTTGCACTAGACAGAATATTTTATATGATATGCTGTGGATATTGTTAGTCTTTATTAGTCTAATCCAAGACTAGGACATTGGATAGAGGTGAAGCATATCCCTAAGTACCTTCAGAGAACGAGAGATTATATGCTTGTCTATTTAAGACATGGTTTGAATCATACTGGAAACATTGATTTTGATTTTCAATTTGATCGTGATTATAGAAAGTTCACATCGAGTTTACACTGTGAGGTAGAGGCATTGTATGGAGGAGTATCAAGCAATCTTGTGTTTGTAGTTTCCACAATGGAAACAGAATATGTAGCCGCTTATGAAGTTGCCAAAGAAGCTATGTGGTTGAAGAAGTTCCTCTTGGACCTTGACGACTTTGGAAATGGAACCTATAATACTTTATTGTGATAATAGTGGAGAGCTTGCCAACGCTAAAGATCCAAGGAGTCATTCGCGTGATAAACTCATTAAGAGGAAATATCGCCTTGTTAGAGAGATAGTTCATCAAGGAGACTTAACAATTAGCAAGATTGTATCAGCAAATAATCTTCCAAATTAGTTTACCAAGAGCTTACAAGCTAAGGTTTTTCATGGGCATCTTGAGAGGATAGGTATTCTTTATATGTCATATATACTCTGAAGAGCAAGTGAGAGATTGTTAGTTTGATGCCTTTGTGTAGTATTTTGTAAAACGACATTATGAATTAATATTCAATCATTGTTGTATTTATAATTTGATACAATTATCTAAGGTTGGATGATCATATGGATGTTACAAATTGTATATATTTTGAGTATAGTGAGACACAATTTGTGATGTGATCAAAATATAATTCACAATCATTACATAAAGTTGGACTCTCATGTTGATAATATTGCATTGTTATTATTGAGATTTGTCTAGATTTGGGAATAAGAACGGTAATGTGTTTTGATACACATTAAACAAGGCCACGTAGATGACTCATTTGTGGCTGGACAAAATGAAACTCCACTCGATTGTCAAATAGTCACCTAAATCTTGAGAGAGTAATATACCTTTGAGTAATTATTCGAGTTCTTTGAGTTACCAATGAGTTTTCTCTATTAGAAGATTGATATCGGGGCGAAATAGCTAGAGATCACATACTTGCAATAATTGAATTCTTAATCTTCACTATGAGATGATTGTAATCCATTTTCTACAGACAGGAGCTTAGTAGTTTGGTCATGGGATCATTGGACACTATGTTATGATTAGTTCATATGGGCTTAGCGTTACTAAGCCCATGTTTGGCCTCCATTAAATTATATTCCATTACATTCTACTTTTCTCTCTCCTATTTTCAACCGCACAATCTTCTAAGGGAATAGGGGAGAAGATCTGAGGGAATAACATTTGGTTAGGTCGTTAAAAGCTCCTTTACAATTATTATCTCACTCTTAGGTGTGAGGATTTAAAAACAAAATCCAATGACCTCAATGTGATCTAAGAGCAATTATTCACCCACGTTTAATCTTCAAGAGGAAAATAATATGTGATGATTGAATCCACTAATCAACACTTTGATTGCCATAATAATTCTGAAGAGAAAAGGTAATAGAAGTGATAGAATTGGTGACAAATAGGAGAAGGAATCATGAGAAATGGGGTGAATTGAAAGATCTCACGAGGAGAAAATTTGCACCTAGTAATATTACTATATAGACTTTTATCCAAAATTATAAAGCCCTATTCAAAGTTCAAGGAGTGTGGAGGATTATCAAAAATAGGTGGCTATGATTAGACAATGAGAATTATGGAGGGAAAACTAGTAAGGATCCTTTGCATGTTCCTAGATGGATCGATTATGAGATCAAGAGTGAAGAAGATCAAACTTCAATATGGGCACGAAAGAAAAACCAATCTTAATGCACTTAATTTAACCTAAGTTGGAACAATGGAATCCACGAGTGTAGCCAGAAAGCAACGTGTGCACGGGCAAAGTAGGTTGCATGGCTCACAATCCTTGTTCTTAATCAAGCTACCCCGAACTTATCAAAGACTTCCAATCTTTGTGGCTTACAACCCTCCCAAGCGTGGTTGTTGATTACAAAAATCATTGGGTCAAGGTTATAGCTCTGATTTTAGCTTTCTTTGGGTTCTATCAAATCTTATACATGTTCTGTGGTGCATCCTGCAATAGCTAAATCAGTTGGTTTGGCTCTAAAATCAGGTTTTTGTTTTTAATCATTTGTTCGTTTTTTAGTTCTAATTCATTTTTTGCGTTCTTTGTTGACTATTCATCAATTTTTAAGTTATTCATATCAAAACAACCACACCAAGGACATTCAAGATTTGTTTAGTGCATTAAGCCTATTGCGCCATCACAACCTTTTTCTCCCCCTCTTGTTGCCTTGTTTTTGATCTTTCCTTTAAGTTGGTGCCTGAAAAATTGAAATTCAAAAAAAAAAATGATTATTCAGCACAAAATAAATTTCAAACAAAAAAAAGTCAAGAAAATTCAAGAAAAAGGCAAAGAAAGTTTGAGAATATCATATTCAATTTTTGAAATCTTGTATTTTATTTTTCAAGAAACACCATCTTTATTACTATTCGATACATGTATCATATCCTTGGGAATGAATCATGTTGTGAAAAGGCATAAACCAAATACAAGAAATTTTTTCTTCAAATTTTTGGGGTGTTTTCATTCTTCTTTTGATCTTTCCTTCTTGAGTGTCATTATCCTTTTTGTTTCTTTAGTTCTTACAGAATGAACAATACAAAGGCTTCTTGATTGAGTTTAACTAAATTCTTTTGAGAACTTGACAAAGGAGTGTGAACTTATTAATGGGAAAAAGTCAATATTGAGTGAAACACGACGCAAGGATTATTTTTTTCAGTTATAAGATGTCTGAAAAAGAAGAATCTACATCTAGGGAGGAGTTCTTCATGTTGAAAGCTATGGAACAACAATTTGAGAGGATGAATGTAGGGTTTGGAGAAATTAGGGATAGGATGGATATGCAGAATACGGTGATTGCAAACTTACAAAAAGGGACAAACAAAAAGAAATCATAAAGTTAGGATGCAAGATAGGCATGATCGTAAAACCGAATATGATGATGAAATAGAAGAATGAATCATGAGAGATCTATAGAAATATAGGATGAATTGAAAGCTCCCATGTGGTTCTATTGCACTTTAGTCATGACTGTAAAGACCTTTATAAAAAAAAATTACAAAGCCTTAGTCATGGTTCAAGGAGTTTGGAGGATTAATGTTGAGGAGGTTAGAGAGGCCACATTGGCTAGATTTTTGAATGCATTAAATAGGGATGTAGTCAACGTAGTTGAATTACAACATTATATAGAGTTGGATGACATGGTGCATATGGCTAAGAAGGCGGAGAGACAATTAAAAAGAAAAGGAGAAGCAAGATATTCTTTGGGTTATTAGCAAAGTTTTTATTTATTAGCAAACTTTGTGCAAACTTTTAGTTTGTACCACCAGAGATACCAAACCTTTAAAAAATTCGCACCCGGAGTCCAAATTGACAGAAACCATTACTTTGACCATCAAAACCGTTAGTTGACCCCAAAATTGACATTGACCAAAATTTTGACTGATTTTTAAAAGGTCAAATATGTTATATTTTTCACATAAAAAATTAAAATAAAAGAAATATACTTTATCTTTTCCACTTCACCCTACAAACACTCACCCCAAAACCAAAAATCAGGAACCACTCACTTCCCTACCTGCCAGCTGACCGTCCAATGCCAGTGGATCGCCCAACGCCACCCCTTCACTGCCTTCAAATTCTCCAAATAAACAGTCTTATTTGTATCTATGTACACAGTCTTATTTCCTCTTTAAACACAAGGGATTTCAGCTTTCTCACCGGAAAAAGAAAATGTTGGAATAAGTGCTTTTTTCACAGCCTCCAATGAAAGGGAAAGCAAATACCGTTGAATAGAAGAAACAATTTTAGCAATCTAAGAGAATAGAACCCAACACAGCATCACACATCAGATTAGGTTTTCTTTATATAATCTCTTCTTCTCCTTAGTGGTTTTCAGAGAAGCACCTTTCAGCTTGGAGACTGGAACAACCTTCTTCTTAATCGGTGAACAACCTTCTTCTTAATCGGTGCAGAGGCAGCTCGCTTCGAAGCCGATGGAAGCTTGTACGAACCCTTCACTTTGAACAGCTTTCCAAAAGCCACGAGCCTTTTCAATTGAACTAGCAATAGCCTCTTGAAATTCTATGGGAGATTTTTCTGCTTCTCCTCAATGATTGTAACTGCATACTAACTAAATCCAATTTTCTCCTTCGGCGTCACAATCGCATCTTCAATCATCTGAAATACAAATTTCAGCCAAAAATAAAGGAAAAAATCAGATCTAAAATTCATAAAAACAAAAATTCCAAATTCATAAAATTGGATTTGGCTCTGGGATTGGAGAGGAAGGGTGGCACAAATTCTTGTAATGACTGGAGGTTGAAACGGTGGTGCTGGTTGTGGCAGTGGATGGTGATGGTAGTGGTTTTTGGGGCTCTGGGATTGGGGAAGAAGGGAAGGGTGGTGGGTGGTTTTATATTTTGATTTTTGATTTTTGTTTTTTGTTTTTTAAATTTAATTATTCATGTATATTATAATTGTCTTTTTTGTTTAAAAATGTAAAGTTACAATTTTAACCTTTAAAAATCAATCAAAATTTTGGTCAATGTCAATTTTGGGTTCAACTAACGATTTTGATGGTCAAACTAATGGTTTCTGTTAATTTAGACTCCGGGTGTGAATTTTTGAAGGTTTGGTACCTCTGGTGGTACAAACTAAAGGTTTGGGCAAAGTCTGCTAATAAACGAAAGGTTTGGTACCTCAGCTGCAATTTTCCCTAATCATAATGATAAATTTTCGCTTCTTACCTTGTTCTTAATTGAACAGAACCTATAAAATATTTTCAACATTTGTAGCGTTCAAACTATCCTAATTTATCAAAGATTAATATTCTTTATGGCATTCAAAAACTTTATAGCATGTCTCATAATTTTTGTAATTAAGACTTCAAGTTCTTTATAACTTTTATTGCTTAATTCAATAAATTAATGGGTCAAGCTTCAAACCAGAATTTATCTTTCATAGGTCATGATTCAATATTGCTTTTTCGGATTTTCGAGCTACTATTGCCAAGTGGATTAACATAAGTTAGTATCAAAGCTTTTGCATTGCAATCAGGTTTTATTTTTTCTCCTTTTATTTTCCAATTAAAAAAAAGAGAGGTTAAAAAGGGCAAAGATAGGTCAAGAGAAATGATGGAACTTCGAGAAAAGGTGAAGAAAGTTCAAGAAAAAATTATATTCAATTTCCTTTTCAAGACTTGAGGGCAAATCTTCTCGAAGAGAGAGGGAATGATAACATGGAGTGTTGACAATGATTTATTGATTGTTCCGGAGTGGCACAAATCAATTAGAACAAAAGATCTTAAACCAATTATAAAATGGAAGGAACATGAAGTATCCGCGATAGAGTATAGGATGTACAGAAATGCGCATAACTTTTACCTCAATTGTCGTATCTTTGCCCATGAGTACAATCCAAAATGTCTTTCGATTTGGTATGAGTTTGATGGATGACATAATTATATTTTGAATGTACTTGAAGAGCATTTTCGTTATTTGTAGTAGTTTAGTTTATTTAAATTTATTTTGTAGTTTTCTAATTTATTTGGATTTGTCTTTAGAATTAGTGTTTTGTTTTGATTAGGAGTTCATTTTATACCTATACAATAAAGACATTAATTATTTGGAAATTAATCATAATGTGAATTTTTTCACCTTCTATCTTGTTTGTAATTGAACAAAAGTTAACAAAATTTTCAATAGTTTTGTCATTCAAACTATCCAAATTTATCAAAGATTCATACTCTTTATGGTGTTCAAAACTTCACAACAAGGTTCATGATTTTTGTTATTTAGAAGTCAAGTTGTTCATATATTTCGTTGCTTAATTTAATAAATTATTAGGTCATGCTTCAAACCTGGATTTTAGCTTTAATGGGGTTGTGATTCTATACTTTTGGTATTTTCGAGCCACTATTGCTACCTTGCCTCATATGAGTTATATCGGAGCTTCTGCTTTGAAATCTGGTTTTTCTCCCCTTCTATTTTCTGGGTAGAAAAAGGAATTCGAAAAAAGAGAGTAATGCGAGGTCAAGAAAAAAGCAAATGCTTCGAGAAAAGGTGCAGAATGCTCAAGAAGAAAAAAATAGTCAGCCCCCGTTCGATCCCAATTAAATTCAATTACATTATATTTCATTTTTCTCTCTCCTATTTTCAACCACACACAATTTTCCATAAAATAATATTACACGTAAATCGAAAACTTTTCATTCTTTTTCAACAACTCATTTTTCTAAAAAATACTATTCCCCCCATTTTCATTTTCAGGTAATGGGGATCAAACGGAGAGCTCAATTTCAACATCAAGATTTGAATGTGAATTCTTGAAGAGATAGGGATTGATGAGAATCATGGAGTGCAAGCTGACAAGGATGCATTGGATGTTCTGAAGTGATACGGATAGAAGAGATGATTTTAAAACAATTAGAAAATGGAAGGAATATGAAGTATGCACAAAAAATGCATGGGGTGTACAAAAATACAAATAACTTTCAGCTCGGTTGTCGAATTATTGCCCATGAGTACAATCCAAAAATGCCTTTCGATTCTACATGAGTTTGTTGGATAAATTTTTCAAACTTTGAGGGTCAAATTCAGTGGTTAGTTTAAGGTTACTTTCATTATAGTTTTGTTTTGATTAAGAGTTTATTAGCATATACAATAAAGACATTATTTCTGTGGGAATTAATCTTAATTTGAGATTTTTCACTTTCTATCCAGTTCTTAATTGAACCGAACTCATCAAATATTTTCAATATTTTTGCCGTTCAACTAATGAACTTATCAAAGATTTGAACTCTTTGTGGTGTTCAAAATTTCATACTTCAAAATTTTCGTAATTAAGATGTGAAGTTCTTTACAACTCTGGTTGCTTAATTCAATAACATTATTAGTTCAAGCTTCGAACCGAGATTTTAGCAATCTTTTGTGGATTTTCGAGCTACTATTGCCACGTGGATGTCAGTTGGTATTCTTGCTTTGGCTCTATAATCAGGTTTTATTATTTTCTTTTATTTTTCAGTTAAAGAAAGTAGAATCGAAAAACTAAAAGAGCAAAGAGAGGTCAAGAAAAATCAAGAAACTTGGAGTAAAGGTGACGAAAGTTCAAGAAGAAAAATATATTCAATTTGAATTCAAGATTCGAGGGTGAATCTTCCTGAAGTGACAAGGAATGATTAGAATCATATTCTCATTTTTCATTGAACTCAATTTCGAACTTATCAAGGATTTCAAATTTGAGGCGTTCAATGATTTCGTAGCAAGGTTCATAATTATTTTGATTAAGGGGTCAAGGTCCTTTATGAATTTGGTTTATAATTCAATGAATTAATAGGTCAAGTTTCAAACCAGGATTTTAGCTTTTTTGAGGTTGTGATTCAATCTTTTCTTAAGTCTTTGTCATCTACTTAATTCTTTTATATCAACACAAATACCAAGAACATTCAGTAATTATTGTGTGTAAATAAATTTAGCACACCCATAAAGTGATATGAGACTGATATAAAATAGGTACAGCTTTGTCAAACATGGAAAATCTTTTACTCATGTTCGATTAATATCAAAACAGGTCTATAAGAAAAACAAAGAGGGGGTCTTAGTAAAAAACAAAGAGAGGCAAAAGTAGACTGACAATCATACTTCAAAGAAAAGAGAAAATAGCAAGATGGTTGAAAATAAAGCGAGATTAGTGGAGCCAGAAAATAGTGAGTTTCTTTTGTAAAAAGTGGTGAAATAAAGAGGGTCTTAGTGGAAAACCAGCCTTCGATTTTTGTTGGCCTATTTCTTTATTGTAAGAATTTGGAAAAGCTAGCCAACCCCTCCCTGGTTAGGCTATTTTTTTATTGTAAGAATTTGGAGAATGTTTCTTGAAGACATGTATAGTGGGTTACCACCCGTTCAAGGCATTGACTTTTTCATATTGATTGTATACCTAGAGCTATAATTTCAAACCGGCCAACTTATAGAAGTAACAACGCAACAAAGAAGCTTCAAAGGCATGTGGAGGAATCGATGAGCAAAGGGTATGTGAGAGAAAGCATGAGGTCATGTGCCGTACCTGGCTACTTGTACTTAAAAAGTATGTGACTTGGAGGATGTGCATCGATTGAAAGGCAGTCAACAACATAACGGTAAAGTATTATCATTCCGTACCTAGGCTGATATGCTTGATGAATTGCATAGATCATGTATATTTAGTAAAATAGATCTTAAAAGTGGATATCACAAAATTAGAATGAGGAAAGGAAATGAATGAAAAACTATTTTTAAAATTAAATATGAATTGTACCAGTAATTAGTTATGCCATTTGGACTTACTATTGCGCATCACACTTCATGAGATTAATGAACCATGTTTTGCGTGCAGTCATAGGGAAATTCCTAATAGTTTGCTTTAATAAAATTCTAGTGTATCGTAAGAACTAAGATGAGCATATAGAACATTTGAGGTGTGTGCTTGTTGGCATGAAATAGGAATAACTTTATGCTAACTTTAAAAAGATTACATTTTACATGGAAAATTGTTATTTATTTTTTGGTTATGTTGTTAGTGCAAAGGATATTAAAGTGATGAGAAAAAAATGAAATCCAACAAGGAGTGGCCAACACATAAAAAGCATAACTAAGATAAGAAGCATTCATGATTTAGCTAGCTTTTATAAGCATTTTGTTGAAGATTTTATATTAAATGGGTTAATCGATCAATGGTTGCGTTGGTGCATGACATTTTCTAGAAAGCATAAAGTTTAAGAATTTAGTAAAAATATTTTCTGGAAAGCATAAAGTTTAAGAATTTAGTAAAAATATTCTTTCTTTTCTACAAAAATTTCTACTACTTCACAAACTATTTTCAACATTTCAATTATTGTAAGTAAATTAATGACGTAGAGACCAAAATTTCAACATCAAAGTCTAACTTCTCAAAATTTTAAAAAATGCACGAAAAGACACATCAACATTATAAATAGAACTCTTTGCTCACCAATTTTTTCTCATTCCCACTTTTATTTTTTACTTTCTACTCTCTCTTTCCAGTCTTTTCTCCTTATTTTCTTCGTAATTTTGGACCCCCTGTCCTTAGCTCTCTATAACTCCGCCATTTCCATCTTCTTTCCCACTAACTCATTCAAGTTTCCTCATGCCAAGAATTAAAATTTTGGCCATTCGTAAATCCAATAAATCCACTCCAAAAGGAACATGCGAAGAGTCAAATTTTATAGAAAAATCTGCTGGGGTTGCTCTACATTCTGAAAGTTATTCTCCTCTGGATTTTCCCTCTTAAGTAAATTTCATCACTTGTAATGATATTTTTGATAAGGAAATTCTACCTGGAAAAATTATCAACTATTCCTTCATTGAATCGATACCATTTCCATTTCTAAATTAATTTTGGGTCCTTGGTAGGGCTGAATTTCTACAAATTAGAGATGGTTATTGTGAAGTTTATATAGTACGAAAATTCTATGCTAACCTAATGTCTGGAGCTATGCCACACTGTTTTTGGTGATGATAATCTAGAAAATTCCAATTGAAGTTGCTTATGCACAATCATAGTGCAAGTCTTAAAAATTCAATCAAGCAACAAACTGTGTCTACTAGTGAAGATCTATGACTATTACTGGCTGTTTCTCGTGGCATTCAAGTTAATTTATGCAGAATGGAACTAGAGATGATCATTTGTGTTGACTATTCCATTAACCAAAGGTTCAATTATGCTCGATTAATAACTATACTATTGGTTAAATGAAATGTTGGCTTGTAGACTGAAAGATTTGAATTCACGCATACAAATTCTTTCATTTGAAAACAAAACCTTGTCCACATGAAGTTTAAGTATGTTAATAGAGAGAGTAGGCATTGCCATCAGAGGAAACTACTCGATCTAGTGAAAAGGAATCCTCTACACAAGTACCGCCACTGTTATGGACAGACTACATGACTCAATTTAGTAAATTTCATATAGAAGCGCCAAATAACTTTATAAAGGATCCAACTTAAGAGACTTCCTAATGTTAGGAGGCAAGATAGGCGTTAAACTCCTAGGCCTAAAATTAAACAAATGTAGGTAGTTGAAGATGATAGGATGAGGAATAGAAAATTTAGGCATGAAAGGGGGCCTAGAAAAAATTGAAGGGACTTTGATGGAGTAGAGTACCCAGTAGTAGATGAAGCACTTGTTACGAAGTGTAGTAAGTTTGACAATTTGATGGGAAGTCTCAAATTTCACAACATTATTCATATGGAAAAACTAGAGAGGAAAAAAATAGAGAGTAAGAGATAAAATAAAGAGGTTGCTAAAAATATGAAAAGAATTGACCCACAGGAGGGAAAAAAAAAAGAAATTGAGAGTGAAAAAGAAAATAGGGAGATGGCTGAAGATAAAGAAAAAAGAGTAAATCCACAAGTGG